AAAGCGATTGATGTCGTGCTTCTTTTAAGTGAAAGTTTACGTATTAAAAAAAAAATGTAAATTTGAAATACAGTCTCCTACAGTTTTCCACCTTATGTAGACTTTCGACAAATTTTGACATTTGATTATTACGAGGACTCTGATTTACGTATATTCCAATATTTTGTTGATGTGGAATCGGAGTCGTATGCGTTATATTTTTCTAGTCATATTGTACTGAAATTAGTTATCACGTCTAATTTTGTTCTATTGTTATATCACATTCCTTTTACAAAAATAAACAGCAGATACGCAGCTACAATTATAATTGTCGTAATTGACTTCTTCGATGAAACAACAATTTGTGTAAAAGAAACTTAAATTCAGGTTTAGCTTTATTCAACGAAGAACAGCACTCGAATTCATAAACAAATAATTGAACTATTATACACCCTCTCTACCCTAAAATGATTACAGTAAAAAAAAAATGTCCAAATACATATTTCTGCTCGTATCGTACAATGTTCCACCGCTGATCAAGGTGATCGATGCGAGAACGCACGGCTCTCGAGATCGGCTCGCACCTGTGGGACGACGACGGTGTCGCGCACGGTACGTTTCAACTGGTCGCGGTGGCTGGTCGATCATTGGTGCACGTGACAACCGCGTGTGAAATTACCACGCGTGTGAATCAGCCTTTACGTTTCCAATCCCCGTGCTGGCTCGCCGATCCGTGACGATCGCCGACGCTGCGTGCCGCCAGTCGGTTCGAATAATCGCCTCGTGGCAGGTGAAGACGAGGATCGGGCGTGTGTAGGCCAGTCGTCTAGTCAGCCAGAGTCCGTCGCACGAGGCACGGACGAACCGCGCGTCAGGTCGCGTTTCGTTCGTCGGCGAACAGCATCATCGGTAACCGAACACGCAGTGCGCGACACGACGCGACACGACCGAACGCGACGCGATACGAATTGCGTGTCTCTGCGTGCGCGAGCTTTCTCGTACGTGTTCACCAGCGTAGTACACCATATCATTCGTTCCTTCGCTTCTTTTTTTTTCCTGTTTCTCTCGCGCGCGGCCCAGTCGCCGCCGTCGCCTCTCCCGTCTCTCTGGCAGTCAGTTTCTTCCGTTCGGTTGAGCGCGCGACATATCGCACGAGGGTCAAACCGAAACACCGCGCAGCATGTCCTCCCTGAAGGGTGACCAGGTCCCGTGCGCACGGCTCTGCCATATCGTGAAATGGGAGGACTTCGACGGTTACGGGTTCAATTTGCACGCGGAGAAAGGGAAGAACGGCCAGTTCATCGGCAAGGTGGACGACGGGTCGCCGAGCCAGGCCGCTGGCCTGCGACAGGGCGACCGGATCGTCGAGGTTAATGAGATCAACATCGCGAACGAGACCCACAAACAGGTGGTCGAGCGGATCAAGGCATTCCCCAACGAGACCAAGCTTCTCGTCGTCGACCAGGAGGTCGATGAATACTTCAGGGCCAACAACATCGTTATCAAGGGCACCATGGCGAACGTCAAGGTGATCAAGACCCCCGAGAAGAATCCGAACAGTGTCGAGCAGGAGGACGAGATCAACGGCGGCAGCGCATCCGTCGAAGAGGTATGTGAGATCGGATCGACATATCGACACATCGGATCGTGAGATCGACCGAATAATCGAACGTCGCGCGAGCTGTCATTATTAGCACGATGATCTCGATATCGAGACGGGTTCGGGTCATTGTTGTCGAGAGGGTGGTCCACCTGTTGCGTCGAATGTGCATCGATTTGATTCGACTACTCCCTGAGAACGATAGCTCGCGACTAGGGGCTCATCTTGTTACTTCTTCAGATCTGTGAACACCTGACTCGAGTATACACTTGGATACCCATTCTATTTAAATAGGATGATCCGTACGCGTCTAGGTGTTTAATCAGATGTGTTCGATCGACTTAAGTGGGATTACTGCATAGTCGGAAATCTCTTGAGCTTCGTTGTAATATTCGGAAATTAATATCTAGAAAATTTGCTCTAGAAAATTTCTAGAACTTGCGCAGTTGAAATTTCGCACTTGCATTTTTAGCAGACATCTTTTTTAAAATTGCGGGAGTTAGTAAAAGTTACATAAAAACTTGCAAGCATAATTAAAGTATATGTATGTATAAATTAATTTCTAGAAAATTTGCTCTAGAAAATTTCTAGAACTTGCGCAGCTGAAATTTCGCACTTGCATTTTTAGCAGATATCTTTTTAAAAATTGCGAGATGTTCCACAATTATTTTAACAGCCGAAAATAAGGGGTAGCTGAGGTCATTTGAAGTAACTTTTTTCTTTGCGAAAATGCAATCCGCGGC